TTTTTTCGATTTTTGCGTTAAGTGACTCTCTCTTCTTCCTTCTTATAACTTTCTTTGCTTCTTTTCTTATGTAATTATATTCTAAACGATTACTTCTTGTTCCTCTACTTATATATTTTTTCCAGGCCTCATGTTTTAAATCATTAATATTCCTGCAATCGTTATCGTACCATTCATTTCCACTTCTTTTTGGTTGACGGCCTATTACATCAATTGCTGCCCCCTTGATGGTTTCTTCTAGCATCTTCCAACTATTTGAGATGTTTTGGTTTAAAACTGAATTATTAAGTCTTTCATTTATTGCATTTTCGTATGCCGATTTGATTCTATCATTTGAAAATTTATCTGTGTTCCATCTGACACGTTTGAATGAATTTTTGGTAGCTATATTTGAAATTCTTTGTCTCATTTTAACCTTTACCATATAGTGGTCGGAGTCACAATTTGCTCCCCTACATGATTTTACATCCAGTATACTGGAAGCATGTCTTTTATCAATTAGAATGTGGTCTATCTGATTTGCACCCCTTCCACCAGGGATTTTCCATGTATGTTTATGTATTTGTTTATGGTTAAAAGAAACGCTACTGATCCACATATTGTTCTCTAAAGCGAAATTTGTTAATCGCATTCCGTTCTCATTTGTGTCGGCGTGAAGTGAGTGTAATCCTGCTATATCTCTTATAAAACTTTCTCTACCAATTTTAGCATTGTAGTCGCCAGCAACTACTAAAACATCGTGTTTAGATGTTCTCTCGCATACTCTTGATAGTTCATCATAGAAAAAAACTTTTTCATCATCATTTGCATTATTTGTAGGGGCATATACTGAAATTAAAGTAATAGTAAGGGAATGAAATCGTTATAATATAAACCAAGTCAATCCATTGCTATTCTTGCTGCAACTGAAAACAATGCAATAAAGTCAATCAATAATTGCATACAAATAAAAACTTGATAAAAAAGTTGGTGTTAATGTGCTAGGAATGCGTAATTTTTTATTTGTTTATTCTTCCCATCGTTTTTCCATATTAAAGCTATAGTTTAGTAGCCATAATTTCACTTTTAATAATTCTTAAAAAGGAATTTTATTAAATTATTTCGTCTCTATTCCTGAATATTCTAAATGTATTAGAAAATTTTGTAATCATAAAATTTTAATGAAATATTGTAATTATATAAATATTATAATTGCATAATACAAAATGCGTCGAATTTTAATGCGTTTCTAGCGTAGAATAACGTGCGTCATAAATTTTTTTAACTGTTTAATTCACATAACTCCGATATTGTTTGCGTTCCCCTTACGAATCCAATTAACTAAACGTCTCATCTCTGACACTTTAATTTTGAGTAATTTTGAGACTTATTCTAAAATGTTGTGGTATTGTCAGGTATTGCCTTAATTGAGAAATATTTAAACTGCATTAGGCTATATAAATCGAAATTTTTAATGACTTAACACTATAAAAAATTATTATGTTAAATCCTCCATATTCGAATTCATAGGTTTGTTTGAGCTCCATACTTATAATTAGATTTTTTTTATAAAACACTTGATTCCATTTAGAAATTACTCTCATCCTATTTATACTTTTGAAATTTCGGAGTGTTAAACATACTTCTTATCAATGTAACCAGAAAACATTTCAAGTAATCAACTAAAATTTCATGGGATTTTCAATTGAAACGTTAAATTAGATTTTAATATTATACAGATTCTTTCAAATTTGACCTTTATCCATTAGCTGATCGATACCTAGACCAATTTTTCTTCTTACAAATTTCTCATAGCTTTGAAAGTTTTTCATTTATTTTATGTTAAGCAAGGGAAATAGTTTTGAATGAGTTTGAGCTTCTTCAACAATAGTTTTATCAATTAAATCAATTAAAATAATTACGAGTATAAAATCTAAATTAAATATCAAATTTTTTGAATATTTAAGTATTTGCATTTTTCTTTTTAAAATAAAACACAAAAAGTTAAAGAAAAGTAATCAAATTTCTATTTTTGGTTTTAAATTTTAAATTTTGTGCGTTAACAATAATTTTTCTGCACAGTAATTATTATTTTTGCAAAATTTTCATTTCCGTTGCAAAACACAGTCTTGACTTTTCCCTATGTACACACGTACATAAATTGTATAAGTACGCAAATATGTAATACGCAAATGTACAGTTTAGTCTTGTTTTTTTTATTTTATTTTTTTTTTCTATAAAATCCGATAATTACGTGGGTAAATTTTTGCTTTTTCAATTTCAATGCGTTAAAAATCTTTACGCTTTTTGATTTTCCTTTTTCTTAAATTTTACTCATGTGTAAGTATACAAGGGTTAAATTTTTCTATATAGCTATGCACATACAATGTATTTAAGTGAATTAGGTAGTGTATGTATGTACCAATATATTATTATGCTGACAAAGGTATTCGACATTTAAATTTAATATTTTTTTAATTTTTATTGTGTGCATTTAACCAAAAAAATTTTTGTTAATAAAAATAAAAACAGACAAACTTTCCCTTTCAAAAATTAATTTTTAATATTTTTTTATTTTAAATTGTTACATATTTAAAATTTACCGTATTTATTTTAGATTATTATAGATATGCATTCAAAACGATAAAAATTAAATAATTTAATTTGATTTTTTCTTTCTTCGCATTTTCATTTTCATTTCATTGAATAATTCGATAATTTTATTTAAGTGATTTTCTTAAAAAAAAAAGCAAAAAAAGAAAAAAAATGGAAGATTATTAAATTCACTTTTAATATTTTTTATTGTTTTTCTTATAATCAGATTATATGAAGCCGAAAATTTATACTATAGCATAGCCGAAATTGTACTATTAATTCAAATTATTATGGATAAGATCTTTAATGAAGCGAAATATTAAATGGAAATTTATGATTGGATTATTAAAAAGATAGAAAAAAAAACACGAAATAAGAAAATATATAAATAATTTGGAATTAAATTAAATTATAAGATAATTTTTTTGATAAAATCATAAAAAAATTTTTCTTTAAAATTAATTAAAATTTTTCAATTCATATAAGAATTAAATATGAAAATTACAATGAAATTTCGGTAGGTGACGATTAATTTCTGTGATGAAAAGGGTTAAAAGAGTGTTTTAAATGATTGTCAATTACAATTTTGACAGTTTATTTAAAGTAATTACGTAATATCGTAAATTATATTTTTAATATGTAATTTTGATTGCAGTGCAATTTGTTCTCATTTGCATAATATTCTAAAACATATTGAAATATTTTTAAAAAGAAACTAAATTAACGTAAGTTAACTTTAATTTTAAACAATATCAATCCATTTTTTTGATAAAAGCTGCCTAGATTGAAAAAATTGCAGCAAATTAAAAAAAACATGTCGATATTTTGATAATTTTATAGATGCAATCAGGCCCGGTTCTGTCTTTTTCGGCGCTACACAGTTTCAAAAAAAGAATAACAAATTAGCCCCCCTCCCTCATGGATATTTTTGGAAAAGACGAAATTAATGGAAAAAAAATTTAAGTTTTTTTTAGTTTTCAAATATTGCCCCTGTATTTTATGCACGAAATATATGCATTATACGAATAATCCTTATATGATATTAGATCTTCCGAATATTCTTAGACATTTTACTCTATTTTTATACTCGTATTTGTGTAAATATAAAACGTAGAAGAGTACCAACATTTTTATACAGTTTAAATCCAAGTAATAATTTGCATAATATCCTTTATTCGGTACGATATAATAATCTATGTATACATTATATTATGTATTAATTAAAAACTGTTATATACGTATAATACTATATGAAAACTATATGTATAATCAGTTTATATTACATATGTATATACACAAAATATTTATACCTGCATTTTTAATACATTTATTTAATATTTATACATTTAGTATAAGTATTTAGTTGGCAACTTGCTTTAAAAAAACAAAAAAGCAGAAAAAAATCAGCAAAAAAATTTAAAACCTTGAAAGCTAACCAAATATATACCAAGTGTATATAAAAATTTTTTTATATGCATTTAAAAAAACAAAACCAGTTTTTTTTTGGTACTTTTATGACTTGTGCATAAAAGAACAATGTAAAAGAAAAGCAAACAAAGTAACAATAAGAACAAATAAAAAAAAACACTGACAAAAAAAAAAAGGAAAATAACAAAGTGAAAGAAAAAGAATGTACCTGTAATACAAAACTTGTATAACAGATGGCATTTTAAATCATTGTATATATGTATATTTTAATAAACCATGTTTTACTATACATTTGAAATTTGTCCTATAGGGCACCTATACGTTGCCCTATAGAATTCGTTTTATTAAATTAAAACAAATAATAGCCGTAGTAGAAATACATTCTAAAAATAAACATAAATGTTAATGTATAAAATTATGAAAGTTTTTTTCTGTTATAATATACCAATAAATAGGTTATAATCTATTTCCTAGTATTTAATTGACATTTTATTAATAATTTGTAATAAGAACGTCATCTCTATACATTTATCTTACTTTATATATTTAATTCCTGTAATTGTTTCTCAATTATTATAAAAATAATTACCTATAAATTAATAAATTATTATTAATAATAATAGATAAATTCAATAGAATTATTATTTATATATTATAACAAATAGTTATAAATAACTAAATATTGACATCGAAAATTTGAAAAAGGCCCTCAATATTAACGAATATCAAGAATATTAAATCATAAAATCGAAATATTTTACTGCGAAAATCGATTTTAATTAATATTTTTAATTTAATTATTAAAAATATTAATTAAATTATTTTATTGAAATTTAAGCAATAGTTTGTAATAGGTGCTTGAATATATCACATGTATACAAGTTATAGGTTATTGTTATATTTAGGTATATGCATATATATAGGCGTAAGCATATTATTATTATTTTTTTTAAATATTTATTAATAAATAAAACAACAAACAAATTTTATTTACTTACTTTTCTTATTGGTTTCGTATCATTTTCAATTATTTGCTGATGTTGTTCAACTTCAATTCCGTCTGACATGATTCTACTATTTATAATGGCTATAGGGGGTTTTTTAATTTTTTTTTTTAAATTTTGTTGTTCTTTTTGTTTTTATATTTGGATTTTATTTGTTTCGTTTTTAAAAATTTTATTTGTTTCGTATGGTTTAAGAGTTGAAAAGATATAGAAATAAGAGAAAAATTTTTTTTTTTTAAATTAAAAAATAAATATAATTATGTATATAAAAAGAAGAAGAAGAAGAAAAAAATACAATTTTATTTTTAGGTCGGATTTTTTTTTTAATTAATTTTTATCTCCTTTTTGAATTTTTTTTTTTATTATATTTTATTTTGTTTAAATATTTATTTAAATTTTATTTTTCTCTGTGTTAATAATATTCTTTTTGGATCCTTTGACGTTTCTCAGTTCTTTTTTTTTTTTTGTTTAAATTTTATTATTTTAGTTAAAAGGAGATATATAGGAGAAGAAGAAGAGAAATTATAAAGAAATATAATTTTATAACAGGTTTATGTACCTACATTTAATACAATATGAGTATATTAACCCTTTTGTGACCAAAATTATTTTGTTAAAAATTAAAAAAAATGTCAGAAAACAAAAAGTTTTTGAGAATAAAATAAATTTTTTTTTCCGGTGTATAATGATAACGGAACCCTTAAAACAGGTTTGTTTCTACTAAACAGGTATGCATGATCACAAAAGGGTTAATATATTATATTATAATGTGCGCCTATATACAAAATTCTTTTTAATAGAAACCAATTTTAAATATGTAATTTAATAGTATACATAATAAAATTTATAATTATACATTATGCAAAATATAACATATACGTATAATAAAATAATGAATGTCTGGATGAAATTATGAAAATATAATTTTGCAATATATTTTGTAAATGTATGTATGTATATGCAAGAGAACCTTTTGAACTATACGAAAATGTATTTTATTCGTACATAATACACAAATACATATACATATATGAATAATCATCCATAATATCAACATGCATAATATAAAATGAATTTCAAATAAAACATAGGAGCATATAATACACACACAAACACTAACAAAGAAATTTATGTAGGTACTATATAAACGATACTAGGTGTAGATTCGTTTTTAAACTCGTTTTGAATTCTTTAAAAAAAAAATTTTTTTTTCTTTTTGTTTTTTAATTATTATTTTTGTTTTTTTTTTTTGTTTTTGCAATAATGGGGATAATCCTTTGAGTGCCCACTTTTTAAATCTTTTAAACAGCTTTAAAATAAAAAAAAAAATTTTTTGCTTTATTTTTTATTTTTATTGTTCTATTTTTATTCCTTTCTTATATGGTTTTCGTTATACAATTTTTTTATTAATTTGCATACTTTTTTTTCTTATTCTTATTTTATGTTAGAAATTTTGCAATGCAATAGCAAAAGAAGATTCTTTTGAATTAAAAAAAAAAGGCGAGATAATTTTTTTTTCGGATTTTGCAATAAAAACCAAAAAAAAAAAACATGAAAATTATTAATGAAAAAAATTCTTATCCTTTATGCATGTATTAGTGTTATACGTATAACAAATTTTGTATGAAAATTATAAGAAAAATATTTAATTTCACTTTCATTAATCATAGTAAAAATCTAAAAAAAAATCAAATCCTTTATACGGTCTTTAATATTTTTTTACTTAAGAAACTTGGCTCTCAATGTTCTCAGAAGAAAATTTTAAAATTGTTTAAGGTTATTTTACTTTTGTATGTATTATAAACGGAAAACGGAAACACTGTTATTACAATTATTAATTTTTTCCTTCTTATTTCAAACAATTTATTTATTTTTTTTTTTAACCGCAAATTTTAAACGGTACAAAATTGTTAAAACTTACTTAAAAAATTCTTAAACTACTTTTTTATTTTGTTTATTTTTAAATTACTTTTTTTTTTTAATAATTTAATTACGATATTTCAAAAAAATATTATAAATTTTTAATTATTCAAAATAAAATCAAAATATGAAAATTATTAAATTTCGAAATTTTTTTACTGTAAAATTTTTTTTACCGTATTTTTTTTTACACCGTAAAACGTTTTCTACTTTTTGTTATAAACCCGAAGATGGCTTTAAGCAGAATGCTGATAAATTTTTAGATGTTTGCATTTCATTTTTTTATTCACCAGAATTGGAGAAAATAAAATATATACATATATACGTACATACAACATACAACATAATATTATGTATGTATGTATGTAACTGTAAATACATAAATTTTTCTATATATATGTAAAATATAATAATGATGTTGGAATGGAATGGGAAAGAGAGAGGAGTCGTAGAGTATAGGAAATGGATAACTTTAAGTTAAAGAAGTGAATAATAAAAAATGAATAAGCAGAAAAATTGAAAAACATAATATAGAAGAAGAAAAATATAAAAAAAATAAAAATAAAAAAAAAATTGTGTACATGTGTGTATGTATGTATTCAATTTCCACTCAGTTAAAGTTATTTAAGAGTAGTTTTTTTTTTTGTATTAAGGGTAAATCTTGTTAAGAGAAAAATAAAAATTTTTTGATTAAAATCGAAAAATCGATTAATGAAAAATATTATTATGAGAATAATAAGGGGGTTGTTCTCTAAAAAGATTTTATTGAATTGTTGTAATTAGGAAAAAAAATTGGTGTAAAATGATGACAGTAATTAAAAATATTTGTCTAAAAAAATTTAATACTCGTATTGGTAGTAATGTTGAAGAGCTCGAAATATTGAATGAAAACTTAGTGGTTTTAATCATTTTGACTGGTTTTGCCATTAATATTTATTTAATTAATTGCATTTATATATTAATATATTTCGAGTTTTTATGTATATTTTCGCCTTAATTAAATTTAAATTCTTCTACTACAAAATTGTAATGAACTAAATCTTTGCTAATAACGCAAAATTTACGAATATTCTATGAAATTTAGAATATGTCAATTATTTCCTCTACAGCATTTCAACGAATTTTCAGGTTTCAATTAAAGTAATTATATTATAAAGAAATAATAATGAAAAAATGTATAAATTTTAATTTTAAATGTCCTAGACAAGAATATTAAGCTATATTTCCAATGAAAAAATATGCAAGATATAAAAATCTGAAATTTCAAAATATATCAATGCCGACACAAAAATACAATACTAACGTAAATAAAATAGAAAAGATTAAATATTTTATAGAATGGATTGCCCATCCACACAATCTCATGTCTATATATCATATTTATATATACATAAAAAATTTATTTATTAAGTATCTACATATAGAAAAATATGTTTTTATGTATTTTAATAAAAGTTTTCCATTTAATTCTAACACAAATGCATAATATTTTTAATTATTTAGAGATATATACATATATTATGCTAAGATTGTTGGAAAAATGCATATACTATATGTATGTATATAAAAATATTTTATTAAAGAAATTTTCCACTCAAAAAAAAAAACCGGCCAGACGAGTGTAAAATTTTTTGTTTTTATTTATATTTTAAATTATTGTAAATACCGGAAAAGTAAAAAATGCCAAATTATTTTTCACTCAACCTCTTGAGTTATAAAAATGAAATAAAGAAACGATAATACAGAATGTTTGAAATATGTTTGATTGAAAGATTATTGTATGAAATAATGAATTTCTTTAACAGTTTGAACAATTTAGTTTGCGGGAATTTTACCCGTTTTATTTATTAAAAAAAAATTCAAAAACAAAAGTTTTATATAAATTTTTGTGAGTTTTGAATTGAATTGAAAACGTCAGTTTTAACACAAATGTGTTACATAACGACGTATTTTTGTTGCTTAACTTGCATGGTTTTAGGAATAATTTTAAAAAAATCTTGTATTATTGTGGAATAAGTAGTTTATTAATGAATTCAACAGGTTTAGTTTAAAACTTCGAATTGAAGTTTAAAACTTCAATTTTTTTTTTGAAATTTATCGCTTTAAACTCTACGTAATAAATATATATAATTTCTTGTTTGAAATTAATTTCTTTACTTAATTAACTCCGGAATTCCTGTGAGACACTTTGTAAATGGAAATATACTACACAGTTTATGCATATACGTACTTCGAAATTTCACTCAAAATTGTTTATTCTTTTAGGAGAACAACTCCTATATTTTTCACTCAAATGCTCCAAATACATATTAATTTTATTGTTTTCCATTGTTTTTATTCATATAAATTGTATATACATATAATATGCAAATTTATTTATTAACCTTGAGAGGGGAGTCGGTACCTATATATACTTACATCTATACATAATAATATTACATAGAATAGCCAATCAACACATATACACAATTTTGCAAATTGCATTAAAAATTTTTTTTCTCATTGTAAAAATATCTATAATATTGTATACATATATATTATATAGAAATATATAGGAAGCACTAAACTTTATACATAAACATTAAAATCAATAACAAATACAAACACAACCGGCTTTTACTTAAATAATGTAAATATTTTTTAAACTTATGTATATTATAGTATGAACGTATGGTATGGTATGGTGAATTGATATACATAGTTTGTATATATAGTTCTTTGATAATATACATATTTATTATTCATTTATGGTTGCAAGGAGATTTTTAGGAAGAAACGCGAATTTTGTTTTTTTTTTTTTACGTTAGTAACACAAACAAATTAATGAATGATGTTCATGCAAATTCATCTACATATTGGTTAATATAAATGTGTATATATATTCAGTTATGGCTGCTAATGAAAGAAAACTATATAACTATACGAATTATATTGAAGAGATTAAAAATCAAAAATGTATTTGTACACTTGATATACACATACTCGTACATACATACACATGCTATATAGTACCTTATAAATTTGATTTTATTGGAGGCATTTAAAATAAATATTTCCAGTTTGTCTAATTATTGTTATATGCAATTTAATGAATATATGAAAGGAAGAAAAACAACAACGATAATAAAATTTTGCGAAATAATAAAAGAATTCATTCGAAAATATTCAAGAACAGCTTTAAAAATGAATGAATTCCTTTGTTTCGAAATTTTTTATTCACAATTGTGTGTCCATATATACATACATATAATGTACTTTTAATTGCATGTTGTATATGTTGTGTGCTAAATTTAAAAATATTTTGTATGTCGCTTAACATTATCTATTTAAGACCTTTTGTCAATAATGTACCAAAGAAGGAAAAAAAATATATTAAAATTATGAATTTTTTTTTTTATTATTTCTTATTTAATTTTATGCCCGAACCATTGACGTGTGATAATTTTCGAATAATATTTCTGAAAAAGAGAAATATTTGCATTTCATTAGATTTCTAAAGGATATTGTTTACTCTTCGATTTCGTTCAACATAATAGTAAATATGTATACAAAATGGTAGTATGTATAGGTATGTATGCATACATGTTTGATACTTGATTATTTCACTCTTCATTATTAACTTTTAGTGATCGATTATTAATTTTTTTGATTTTTTGAAATTATTTTCGACTAAAAAAACTGAAAATCATGCATTTAAGTGATTAAATGTGATTTCAGAAAATTTACTCTGATATTCAATAGAATGTCATTATTTTTCATTATGAGCAATACTCGTATATCTGATTGCTCTATAGATATGTAAATTTTATATCTATCGAGGAATAAGATAATTTGGATATCTTAACAATTATCAAATATTTATTGTAAGCATAATAGCGTAAAATATTTGTAAAAGATTTTTTTGTGTACGTGAAATTAAACTTTCAGTATGCATACATAATATGTCTATGGATTTAAGAGGCTTAGGAATAATAATTTTATTTTATTCATTATAAAATCAAATTTTAAATATTATTTTTTTCCTATTTCTTTTTGATGAAAATTATTTGCTTGCAAATTTAACAATTATTTTACAAATGAAAATATTATTGCATATATTTAGGATAAGCAAATCACAATCATTTTGAATGTAAGACTTTTTATCTGAGGTACAAATAAAAATGCGAGTATTTTAATAAATATTAAGAATAACAACAATTTTCAATATGTTTTGCAATTGAAAAAATATAATATAATTTTTTTAAAATAAGCTTAAAATTATTTTGATTGATTTGATTTCCCCTATTTTATTGTACAATTTGAATATTATTCGTGAAAAATGTCAAAACTGACAAAAATGTATAGAAACAAATTTCATACATTTAGGCGAAATAAAAAAACAGCTTATTTAAACAATAATATGAAAGTATACTAAGCGATGTAAACTTTAAAATTGAATAATTTTGAAGAAAGTTGTTAAATGTAAGTGTTTTAAATAATAGAAACTCCGACTTTGCAACAGCGATAATGAGCAATTCTATTGTAGGTCTTCAATTGAAAATTTCTCCTGTCCTAAAATTACAAAATATGCAATATTAAAAAATTTTTTTAATTTGAAAAATATTTGTAGTTTACTTTCTTATGGGAATTGTCATATACAAGTAAATGCCATTAAATACTCCCATTAAATGCTAAAAATTTTATACCTTAATTAAAAATTGAATAAAATTAGAAAAATATGTCTTAGTACTTGTTATTTTGCTAGCCAAGTGTGAAGAAGGTGAATGACTGTATGAATGTTTGTATTATGTAGTTTTCCATTGAGAAGAGTTCTTCCATATTGTATATCTCGTTTTTTTTTCTAAAATCTGCACAAATTTAATTCGGTTTGTTTCTGAAGGTTATAGCTCAGTCGATTATTTAAGCAAAATGTAGAAATCCAATTGAAAAAGAGAGAAAAGTTTTACTTTTAAATTTTCAAAATTCAAAGTTGTACAAAAAGTTATGACATAAAATTTAATTTGTGTTTCGAATTGGTATGAAAATTAATACCAATTCTAGTATTAATAAAATAATATGAATTTATTCATCCCAGTCTACGTATTGCATAATTCAATTGTTATAAAATTTTTGCCTCTTAAACTAATTATTCTGTACTATCTTTTATAATTT